AGAGAGAGAGAGAGAGAGAGAGAGAGAGAGAGCTGGGGCCTGCACTAGAGGTATATGCAGGAAATATATGTAAAATATTTAGCATAGTACCTGTCTCATAGTTACAATACAATAATATTGTTTATTAATAAAACTATTAGAATAACAATAGAATTTTTAAAAAAAATCATGGTAGACTTAATAGTTGGACTATCTGGAAACTGGAGGGGTGGTAGGCCTCCTGTTCCTGTCCAGTTGCCAGTTGAATATTTCCTGGGAGTTAAGCCAGGATAGCAGTATTTCTTTTTAAAAGATTTATTTATGCATACAAAAACTATGGTACCGGCCCGAGGTGCAGGGGTCAGACAGAATGGGGAGCAGAGCAGGTGCACTAACTGAAATACATTGTGAGGGTGCATTAGATGTGACAGGAGGGGTCTGCTGCACCATGTAGATCAGCTCCCTGGCGGGGATAGAACTGGCTGCAGTGGCTGCGACTAGCAGCAGCTTAGTGCTGAGACTCAACCTCTTGTGCTGCCAGGAAGGCCCCGGGATGACAGTTTTCTAATATTTCTGAGGACTGGTGGTTTCTTTTCCAGTGGAAGAACAAGAAAGGCAGGAAAGGAATCGAAGCCGACAGCCCCCTAAAGTGGGTGGTGAAGACCGTGCAAACTTGGACTTCATGTTGGCCTTAAGTCTGCAAAATGAAGGCCAGGCCCCCAGTGTGGTAGAGCAGGACTTGTGGAGGGCCACATGTGAGGCGGGCCAGCCCCACGATGGCCGCCACGCCCTGACTGACACGAAGGGTAGGTTTATGTTCCGCACTAGCCTCTGTTGCTACTTTTCTAAAAGTCTTACGCTATATAATTAATATAAAATTAAGTTTTCATGAGACAGCATTTGCCTTTTTGGTTTCTTTGACTTTCCAAATATTTTATTTTTAAAAATTGTCAGGCTAGTGCAGTGAGTATATATTGTCCCTTTAACTGAGCTATAAAGTACAACATTTTATCCCTATAACTACCTCAGCATGTATCTTTAAGAAGAGGGGCATTTCCTGTGTAAATAACAACGCCACATTCCCTGTTGGTACATACTATCTTTTAAAGCAAAATTTTGTTTAAAAAACGAGGATTATTATGCATTGCATTTATTGTTAGCTTCCTGTACAGTTTATTCCACCTCCCCTATTTTACCTTTTTCTTTTAGGATCTTGGTACTCCTTTGAGGGGTCCAGGTCAGTTGTTTTGCAGACTACTACTTCTTTTGCAGTTTAGGTCTGTCTGATGTTTCCCCATGTTTAGACTGCAGTGGCTTTAGTACGGTGCTGTACTGGTTGATCTGTTCATCATTTAAGTGAGGTCTGTCAGTATCTTTATTACTCTTCATGCTTAGTAGATTCAAGGTGTTATTTTGAAATTATCAAGAACAGGACAGAGACATTGATAGCCGTTAGCACTCATTGTACTTCTCGCTTGCAGCAGTACGACTTGGTGATGGCAAGATGGTAATCTTGGTGTTTCTGTCCTTCGTTCTACATTTGTTGTCGTTCTTTAAAGAACTTTTCCCCTTTCCCTGTTTTTTTTTTTAAAGACTTATTTATTTATGCATACTGAACTGGGGTACACGTCAGAGGTGCAAGCAGTGGTGGTGAGAAGATTCTGAATTTTTAGGAACAGAACAAGGCTTCTGCATGTTTGACTTTGGATTCTTTTTCTGTATTTGTTAGGCAACTTTTTGTGTTGCTGATGATCAGTTTTCCTTCTTGTTGGTTCCTTTGATCTAGGTTGTTGATTTTATTTAAACAAATAGTTGCTGTTGTCTAAAATGCTGTTTTTATCAAGTAGTTTGCCCCTGTCTCAAAGAAAGCCTTTCCCAAGCTGACTTTTTATTTTAAAGATTTATTTATTTTATTCATACAGAACTGGGGTACAGGCCAGAGATGCGGAGGGTGAGAGGATTCACCAGAGACAGAGTGGGGAGCAGAACAGGCAGATCGACGAAGTCCACTGCTGAGGGGAGCAGCGGGCGGTCAGGAGAGGTCTGCCGCGCCCTGTGGGTCACCTCCGGGGCAGGTGGGGCTCGAACTCATGCTGAAGTGGCTTAAGCTTCTTAGTGCTGCGCTGTAACCCGCTGCGCCACCAGGGAGGGCCCTGACTAGTATTTTTTAATGGGAGAGTCCCCTCACCAGGCTGCCAGCTAGACTTCACTAGGGTATTTAGATTGGTATCATGAAAGATAGTAGCTTCGTAGGGACAAGAGACTAGAGTCAGTGACGTTTCCTTTATATTTTCCTTGTTGCTTCTTAGATTCCTTTATTGACTTACTTGTTTAATTTCATTTTTCTTCTAAAATTCCTTTGGAATTAATTTGTCTTTATACTTTTTATACTTGCCTTGGAAATTTTATTATGTTTATTTAACTTAAAGACTAAATTTAATCAGTCTTATCACTCTTTTCCCAGTTAATATATTTAGCCTTAGAATTCAGATCATACCACTGAATAAACACCACTGATATGTGTTACTATTCTCTTTTCTTTTTAATGCTATGGTATAGACCTTTCTTGTCTTATCTACCCTTTATATTTAGCATTTTATTACGTTTACCATTTCCTTTGCTCATGTATTCCTTCTTGCTTCTCAGAAATTCCTTCTAAGATTAAGTTTTCTTTCTGAGGTTCCTTCTTTAGGTACACTATGGTAGTCTTTATTATAAATTCTCTATATTGGTTTGTCTGAAAATATATTTACTTTGTTTCCACATTTGATAATTTTTCTGGTTGCTGGCATGTGTCTTAGTTCTTTGCAATTATTTGATGTATTTCTTGGCTTCTGTTGTTGGCTGTGGAGAGTCATCTGTGGGTGTTGTTACCACTCTGTGGTGCCATGTCCTTTCTCTCTGGCTTACCTTAAGGTCTTTTTGCCTTCGGGTTTCTGCAGTTTCTTGATGAGTTCTCTGCTTTAAGTTTCTGGGAATTTGCTGGCCTTCTGATTCATAAACTTAGTATTTTTCTTCTATGTGGAAAATTCTCAGTGATTGTTTTATTATTGTCTGTTTTCTCTTTTTTGCTTCATCTGCTGGAATTCTGTTTAAATGTGTGAAATTAGCCTGCTCGGTGCTTACAATTTTCATTTCTTTGTCCTCTGTGCGGCATTCTGAATATTTAAAAATCCAATTTGTCATTTAATGTGAGGTTTTCATGACTATTTTTCTTTGGTTCTATCTGAATTCTTTTTGGTCCTTTGTGACTCATAATTAAAAAAAAATACCTTTTTATACCTCAGGTGGTCATATTCCAACTCTTTTTTTTTTTTTAAGATTTATTTGTGCATACAGAACTGGGGTACAGGCCAGAGGCTCAGGGGCGGCGAGAGGCTTCACCAGAGACAGAGTGGGGAGCAGAACAGGCAGATCGACGAAGTCCACTGCTGAGGGGAGCAGCGGGGGGTCAGGAGAGGTCTGCCGCCAAGTGGTCACCTCTGGGGCAGGCGGGAATCGAACTCATGCGGAAGCGGCTTTAGATTCTCAGTGCTGTGCTGTAACCTGCTGCGCCACCAGGGAGGGCCCTCAACTCCTTTTTTAAACATCTCTAAAAATGTAAAATATACTTATTTTTCTTTTGTGCATGGAAAGTAAAATAGCTAAAGACCATGTTTTTTGCTATTATTTGCTGCTTCTGTGTGTGTATTTGTATTTGTGTGTGGATACACACAAGTATTGACAATTTTTAAAAATTATAAGTTTGGAAAAGCAAACAAACCAAAAAGGTAAATTCTATCTCATGAAAGCTTTTTATGAGTTGTGTGCGTGGAAATACACAGCTAGCCACATAACAGTTAGTTCTGGAGTTTCCCTGGGAGCATCTGTACATGCTTCTAGCGGACACCTGCGGTTACTGCCGACTGCCATCATTTTAAAAGTTTGGCTTTAGGCTTTTGGAAATCATAAATGTGAATATATGTAAATCTAGATTCTAGCTTACACCCAGGTAGCAACTACGCTCTGGTTACTGCCCTCGGGAGAGACTCTCTTCTCTTCAGAGCCAAGACCTCGTTGGGCGCGCGTCCTTACCTTCCTCTCATGTTCACTCTCCACTTGCTCAGTAGTTTTACTGGGGCTGTTGGGGCTTAGAGGCCTTACTGGATTTATGTCAATAAACATATTACCATGAGAAATGTGAGGACTTACGATGAAGTTCACCTTTCGGTGTGGCAGAGAGAAAAAAGCAAATTTTCGGTTCCCATGAAAAGATGAATATAGCTCAAAGAAGTTTTCTGGAAATAAAAAGCAAAAGATTGAAACTAGTATTTTAAGTTATAAAATTTAGATTAGTCCTTCTCAGTTTATTTAGCCACCATGCAGCAAATCTGTTGTTAGCAGTTTTCTTAAGTCCACGTTTCCTGTAAGCTCTGCAGTTTTCCTTGGTTCTGTGACAAACCAAATTTCCAGAGTACTGTCAGACTCCTTCCTGTGACTTTCTGAGTACAGAGTGTGGTCAGTAGCCTCTGTAAATAGTAGCAGACTTTAATACAACCATAATATCTGATTGTGAAGCAGTTGACATGGATGTTTGCATAATTTTTTTTAGAATGGTCTGGTATTCACTGGCTAAGTCTGAATAGTAGACTTTAAGAAGTCTTACATATTTAGAACAGTCCTGTTAATCCATACATGCTGAAAAGTCACCATTCTTGTGATAGTTTCAGTTTACCCTTATCAGTCCATTTTAATATTTCTTTTCACAATGAAAATAATTTCTTAAAAGATTTATTTCTGCATATAAGAACTGGGGTGCAGGCCAGAGGTGCAGGGGTAAGAGAATTCAGCAGAGACAGAGCAGGGAGCAGAATAGGCAGATCCCCTGAGACACACTGCTGAAAGGGAGCAGCAGGCAAGACAGGAGAGGTCTGTGTCATGTGGGCCAGCTCCCTGGCTGGGGATGAGATCAGGGTCATGCTGCAGTGGCTGCTGACAGCCTACTAGCACTGAGACTTACTAACCCTTTGAGCTACCATGGTGGGCTAAGGAAAATAATTTTATCAGGTGTCTTAAGAGTCCCTTCCATGGGCCCTCCCTGGTAACTCAACAGGTTAAAGTGCAGCACTAGGAAGCAGTCTGCAGCCACTGCAGCACGAGTTCAATCCCTGGTCAGGGCGGTGACCCACAAGGCATGGCAGGCCTCCCCTGTCTAGCTTGCTGCTCCCCTCAGCAGTGTGCTTCATCATTCTGCCTGTTCTACTCCCCGTCTCTGGTGAGTCCTTTCACCCCCACACCTGTGGCTTGTTCTCGCTCCCCCCCCCCCGCCCTTGTATGTGTAAATGAATAAATCTTTTTTAAAAAATAGTCCTTTCCTGTGGTGATGGCACCAGTGAATTGGTGATGGAAAGTCCATGGGGATTACAACTGAGATGGGAAAAGGCACAAAATGACGTAAAAATAAACTATTAGAATAAAAAAAATCCTTTCCAGAACTGCCGTATTTTTCTTTAATCAAAGAATTAACAATTTTAGAGTCAGAGAATTTTTGTCACAAGCTTAATAAACTTACAGGATTTTATAATAATACTTACCCAGTGACAGATGAAGATTTTAAGAGCAGATCATTTCTCTGACAAGGATCAGCAATACTGACAAGATTAGATTTTTCTCAGTTAGTCGCACCTGAGGGTAAGAGAGCACCAAGATACTCATATTACCTGAACAGTCTTTAATATACTATCAAAAGTTTGTGAAAGCAGTTTAAGAATGTTTTTTGGCCTAGAGTTTATCTTTCAGATGTTTTCCAGTATAGTCTTCCAAAAGGCTACATGTCAGACATGTCAGAGGAAGTCAAGCTTAATGTAAACTCTATATGGAGTGTAGAAGGTTAAAATCAAGTTGTTTTGTCATTGTGAGTCTAAGTCTGTCTATGTGGCCTGACCCCTAGGTGACGCTGACGAGACCATGCTGCCTTGTGAATTTTGTGAGGAACTCTACCCAGAGGAACTGTTGATTGGCCACCAGGTGCGTAGTCAATTATTTGGATGCTTTAAGAAGTAATACATGTGGGGTGGAGCTGAGGTTGCAGGCCAGAGAGTCTTGTGCCAACTTTGTTAATACAATGCCTGTGGTGAGCACAGCAGCGACATCTTTTTTTTTTTTTAACCACAGTGTGATTGATAGGTGGGTGTAAGAACTCAGCCTCCTTCCCTCTAAGAACAAGTCATGTTTCCTCCAGCAGGCCCGGTTCCTTCCATTCTGTGGCGCTAGTGTGTATCTGTACGGAACCTTTGTGATTTGGTTTCGTGACATGCTGCATTTTGATTTGTTGGAGTTGTACTGAAATTGTGGCAGTTCCCTGCAAGGGTCGGGGTCTCTTGCACTTTACTCTTCATGCCTGGAAGGTGTATAGCCTTCTGCTCCTGCCACCTCACCACAATGAACAGCGCAGACCCCTTACTCATAGGCTTGGTTTAGATGTGACCTCCACCACCAGATGGGATGGGAATCTTGAGGATCAGCGCCAAGAACACTTCCTCAGTCTTTGTCTTCCTACCTGACCAGAATCTACACATGCTTCTGGTCACTCCCTGTGTGTGAGCTGTCTGCAGCGTGCACTGCCTCGGGCCTTCCTCAGACTTTCTCTACCCTTTGACAATGGAAACTATCTGTCACTAGCTGAGGACCAAGGAGCCAGACTCCACTTACGGAAGCATGGAGGTGGAGATGCACAAGGGCTTCAGGGAGGGCTCACTGGTGCGTTCTCCTCGAGACTTGATGCTCTGAAGAAGGCCAGGTCATGAGTTGCGCCTGTGCGCAGCCTCAGAATCCTGTGCCCTCTTCTCTATGGCCTGAAACCCTGGTTCCCTGTTGATCTGCACCATGACACTAAGTTCCTTGTGGACAGGTTCTGGCGGGTTTTTTTTTTTATGATTACTATTTATGCATACAGAACTGGGGTACAGGCCAGGGGAGCAGGGGTGGTGAGAGGATTCACCAGAGACAGAGTGGGGAGCAGAATAGGCAGATCGACAAAACCCACTGCTGAGGGGCACAGCAGGGGAGACAGGAGAGGGCTGCTGTCTCCAAGGGATTGAACTTACGCCGAAGCACCCGAGGTTGGCTTCATAGTATTGCATTCCAATACTATGGAATGCGCCACAGGGAGGGCCTGGTTCTCGGTTTTTCTAATTTCTGAATGATTAAAATTTCTTGAGCCATTTAGGGCTGATTAGAGAATGATTTCTTTTTTCCAGGTTGCCTGATGGAGGAAACCAGGTTTCCCCTAAACACACTGACTTGACTTCATCCGGGCTGGCATTTCCATACCACCACGTAGTCTCTGCTCTGGGTGGTAGAACACACCTTCCCCTCATGAGTGGAGTAGTAGCAATATTTGAATGCATCTTGTGTTTGATTTAGGGACAGCATAGGAAAATTAATTATTCAGGGATAGAAGAGTATTTGGACGTTTTTTACTTTATGAGTGTGGGAAGAATCTTGAATCTTCTTAGGCTTTCTTAGTGAACATAGTGAAAAAAACAAAACCCAAGAATTGAAACAACATGCAAATGTTTAAGAGTAAAGTGAGTGTTCCTTCATATTTAGTCTCTTTCCTCAATAGTAAGAATACTAAAATGTTGTGACTTCTAAAAAATCTTTTAGGAACATAAGTTATTAAAACCTTTGTTTTTTAAACTTTTTTTTTTTTTTTTTTTGAGACAGACAAGCTGTAACCCTTCATGTGCCTTACCTTCACTCAATATGGGTAGCTCTTCCCCGAAAAGGGTAGAGGATCCTGATGTCATCTTCCAGAAGTTTCTGCAGCAAGCTGCAAGTAACCAGTTGGACTCTTTGATGGGCCTGGGCAAGTCACCCCCAGTGGAGGACAGCATCATCATCCCGTGTGAATTCTGTGGGGTACAGTTGGAAGAGGAGGTGCTATTCCATCATCAGGTAGGAGTCTAGGCGGGTTCTTCCTTATGGTAGCATTTGAATCTTGCATTCCAGGGGTCCAGGAGGCCCAGTTCTGGCTTTGGCCTGATGGTTGATCTCCACATGAGCTCGTTTGTAAAGGTGGACTTGGCCAGACATCCTGAGTTCCTAGGATTCCAGTCAGTGCTGGGAGACACATTTTCTGCCTGATTTTGTTTGTGACGGGCAGCTGCCACTGCAGCTGTTGCTAGAACACCACACATTCATTTCTGTAATAAAGATCTCTGTTTTGGGAAGAAGTAATAGATAAATAACTGCTTATTGTCTCCTTAGGAAAGACTACAATAAATAATAACCATGCAGATACGCAGTGGTCAAAGTATAGACCTATTTTTTGGGCTCCCCAGACCAGCCCCTTCCTTTATCCCTGCACACATCAGAGAGCATTTTTGGCACTGCATTGGGTGCTGGTGGGGAATGATGACTCCTTTCGGGTGTACTTCCTCTTGGCCCCAGGTTGTCAGGTCCCTCTCAAGATAAAGTGTGTGCCAAACTGCTGTTCCTTCCTTTGCTTCAACAATGGTTCTCTCAGGAATTATTTGGCTCAGAGGTACTAATTTTGGTTTTTCTTGTTAGGACCAGTGTGACCAGCGCCCAGCCACAGCAAACCACCATGTGATGGGAGGAATTCCTAGACAGGAGTCTCAGATTCGAGGGACCTCACCAGAGCTGCCCAAGAGGCGTGTCAGACACCAGGGTATTAGCCAGGGCTAAGCCGAGGCGCAGGCTGCTGCTGGCTCTAGCCTGCTTCCCGCTTCTTAGCTGCCACTCTGCCTTCTTGGGACCACCTAGTCCTGATGTGCCAAGCACACTGAGCTCTCATGGGGACTCCCTTGAGGCTGCTTGTTGTCCTGTATCAGACCAAGTACACGTTTATAGGGGTGCTCAGAGACCCGTCTGCACTAAATGGATTCCTTGCAAATAATTTATTGACCTTATTGTGACTGCTCTGGGCCCCTGATTTTAGCTGAAATATGCTTATTCAACCATACTAATGTTATTTTAGAGTCTCATAACTATGCAAATTAACTGGTTTTGATAACCAAGACCCACAAAACACATGAGAGATTATTTCTCAAAGTTGCTTGTATGCCATTGGTGAGTTAGCTCGGGGGGGGGGGGTATTTCAGGACTCAGATAACAAGTGTATAGTGTGGATAAAGTGTTTCCCGACCCTGTCCTGGAGGGGGGGCGGGTTCCAGCTCCCAGCAGCCTGTAGGGGTGGGGCCATTGTCTTCTCCCCAGAATCTTTTTGTTCTTGCCCTGAATCTAGCACTAGTAGCAAGAGCAGGCTTATCCCTAAAGCGGTGCTGTTTTTTCAGGAGACCTGTCTTCTGGTTACATGGATGATGTCAAACAGGAAATGGCTAAAGGGTCCGCCTACCCGCTGCCCCCCAGCAGACCCATTAACAATATGACGGCTACCTGTAACCGACTGTCCACACCCACATCAGGCTCCAAACTGGGGTGCCAGCCCAGTCCCCCTCGTGTACTGAAGCTCAACAACCTAGACAGTCAGGACCTCCGGGGACGGAGTCGAAATAGCCGTAATGGGGCTGTGGCTCCAGGGCATGTTCCAGTGATTCACCCTGGTCGAAACCCCTACCCGGAAAACCTTGTGCCCTCTTTCGCCCATGGGCCTGCAGGAAGATACGGAGCAAGGTAAAAAGTGGTGGCTGGAAATGTAGTCCGGAAGTGGTTCCAGAGTGCTGTTTTCGGGGGAGGGCTGTGCAGACTTTGTCTTGTGGCCTGATTCTGAAATGTTCTATTCCTCTCTGGGTTTTCTGTTTGCTTATTTTGTCTGCCGGGGGAGGACTGCTTTCGTTTAGTGCTAGCTTCTGTTCTGAGCTTCCTGACTTTTGTTCAGGAGCCTCTCGGGGACTTGTTTCCCATACTTCTTTTCAGAGGTCGGAGTGAAGGTGGCAAGAACTCCCAGGTCAGCCCCACTGCTCTCAACTACCACAACAGAACTGCAAAGGTAACCAGGATCCAGCTCCCGATGCGCAGAGGATGCGGAGTGGGTGGGGCTGGCACGGAGCATCAGACTGGTGTCTGTCCTAGTGGTGATGAGGAGGCTTCTGTAGAAACTTCCAGGCTCTAGGGGAGGGGTGCCGCTTTTTCTCTTTCATGCAGACCTTGGGTTCTACTGTTCGGCAGGCCAAAACGCCCAAGCAGCAAGGCAACGGAGACAGGGAGGAAGAGGAGGAGGAAGAGTGATGTGTCTGCGGAGCACCTGAGTGCCGTTTCCTGCCTGCCCTGCACAGCGGAGCTTGCCACAGTGCGGGCCCCACCTCTCGGGCTCTGGGCAGGGGAGACTTCATGGATTTTAACTTGTTCTAGGTTATGGCCATTTTGTGTCTTTTGAGATTGTGCTGTGGAAATCTGGGGACTTGAGGGAGGGTTAACAGCCCATTGAAAAATGTTACATCTTTAGTGGCTCTTTCGGCACCAGAGAAATTCCAATTCCAGGGAAGGCCTGCGGTCCACAGGGCTTATCTTTCAATACACTGTCACCACCACTTCCCGGTGCCTTTTGTGGCCCTGGTGGGAGGAGGAGAGGGCTCTGGACACCTCCCACCCACCACTTCCTGCAGAGCCCTAAATTTGGGAACCTGTCAGTAGCCCTCTTGCCCTCCTGGGCTTGAGTGTGGAGGAGCTCTGTCAGGCGTTCAGAACAGTTGCAATGTGTATCAGCGACAAGGCTTTTGGCGAGTTGAGCTAGCGATGAGTGGTGAGTGTATCTGCTGCTTTGGCATGGGCATCACTGCCCCGTTTCTTGGGGAGCAGGGCTCCTTGATTTTCACTGCCTTCCGATGGAGAAGTCCAGAGCTCCCTGGCCCTGCTGAGGCCATGCCCGGCTCACCCCTGATCAGGACTGAGTTCTAAAAACTCCACAGTTTGCTTTGAAAACCAAGTATCAGCCCCCTTCTGTTTCTTATTTTGCTATTATAATTATTAATAATCCTTGTAATAGAAATAAAGTTTGTACTTGGAGTTTGCTGGGTCTGTGATTCCTTCTGTGCACTCTGGAGCCCTCGGGGCAGCAGAGGGAGCTGCAGGCGGAGCTGTGGTGTGGGGAGGCGGGGCTGGGCTCTCCGGCTCCCAGCGGACAGCGTGGTCCTCATTCAGAGAGCACCAGACATTCAAGATCTAGTTTTCTCCCATGTGGAACTTCAAGGAAACGGACAGCAGTGGCTTTTGATGATTTAGGGTGGGTGTGGGGGCGCCTCGGACTGACTGGAGCCATGCAGCGGGCTCAGGAGCCTCAGTCCTGAGAGGAGTTGAATCTTGGCAGGTCAACGATTGCTGCTCGGCGCCTCCCATCTGCAGCGGACCATCGCGCATCTTAAATCATCTTGAGCGCATGATTTTTTGTCTCAGCAGCCTAGATGAGGTGGAAAGGTAGGAGGGTCTGCCCTGCGCACTGTAGGTGGGAAGGAGTGACTTCCAGAAGGCTGGCAGCTCATTCAGTGCTGCAGCACCAGGACTTAAGTCTGCATCTGAATTGAAATAATCTAGACCAAAAAAGAATATATACTTCAGCTTCATTCATTTCCTTGTGTGATTGTCGCAGGTGTAAAAAGCCACAAGGACTGAGAGCCTTGTAGTGTTTCCGAGTGTCCCTAAACCCCCTGACTTTGTCCCTAAACCCCCAGGGACTTTGGAGAAGGCTCCTCACATCAACAGTGCAGGATATGCCACGCAGGCTATCTTGTTTAGGAGGACGGAGGGGTACACCTAACAGTAAAGGTGGTTTTCCCTCCCCTTTGGTTGGATTAGACAAGGAAAACAGCGGTGGGCTTTGGTGCGCCTCCCTTATGTTGTCTTAGTTCCTAAATGAATTGCAAGGAGTAGACTTTCTCAAAAAACGTCGAATTAAGTAAATAAGGGTAGCTAAAAAGATAATTCTCTGCTCCCCTCTTCCCCCTGAAGTTCCCCCAAAGTTCACAGCTGTCAGTTCTGTGAGCTGCTTCTGGTGTCTGCTGCTGTATCTCCACACGTGGCCCGCCGCACTCTTCTCGAGTATGGTCTTGGTGCCACCCTCCGACCTGGCATTTGTTCCTGTACCACTTGAAAGGGAGTTGCAGCTAGCGCCCCTCCCCCCAGACCTCAGCAAGTATTGCCCAAGAGTGACACTCTTCTTCCAACTCTTTTTAACCACAGTAATCAGGAAACCAACATGGATATACTCCTACCCTCTTTTCCGACCTCATTCCAATTTTACCAAAACCAAGTCTTGCCAATAATAACTTAAAGCAAAAACACCTGTCTTTCTCTGGTGCAAGATAATGTGTTACACTTCAACAAGTCCTCTTTTTGCCACCTTTCATCTGGAACCATTCCTCAGATTTGTTTTCAGTGACCTTAACATATTTAGGAATATAGGCCAGTTATTTTGTAGACTGCCCCACAGCTTAGGATTGCCGGTGTTTTCTGTGGTGAGATTTGGGTTGCACCCAGCAAACCCGGAAAGTGCCACCTTCTCAACACCACACGTCACTACTGCTTGATCTTCAGCATGCAAAAGGACAGTCCGTATGGTTCGTAAAGAGACTTTTTCTCTTGGTGGAGAGAGATTCTGAGACTAAGTGTCCTGTTTGCCTCTTCAAACCTTCATTGACTACTTTCAACATCTATGTTGATTCTTGATTGAATAATCACTATTCAAGTGGGATTTTCGAGTTCCCCCTTTCCTTCATTATTTTGACATTCTAAGGAAGACATCCGTTTGAGGCCAGGTTCCACCATGGGTTTCCTCTCCCTTTTCTGCTGTTTGAAAACTACCTGGACATCAGCCAAGACAGCGGTGGGGCCCTCCCTGTTTCTCAGACATTTCCGTTCTTCATGGGCTGGTGTCCAGTGTTGTGAGAACCATACATGTGTCATGTGACCACCTTTTTGTAAGGCTGTTTTTGGTGGTGGTGGTGGTGGGGGGATGGCTAAAGAAGTCTCTTGAAAGCCTTGCTTTACCTTTCTAGATTGTCATAAAGTGATGCCATTTTGATTTGCATGAATTTTTTCCTTGATGTCTCTCCCTGGTATTCTGAAATTTCTCCACGTTGTATGTTGTAGATCCTTTTTCCATTCAAATACCTAGAAACTTAGTACTTTTTGTTGAGAAACTCATTCTTTAGACTTTTCAGCATTTTTATTGTTTTGATTTTTATCTCTGTAGAAATCCAGTTAGTTGGATGTTGACCCCCTTATTAAATCAATCATTTTCTTTCATATTTCTTTTTGTTTGACTTTGTGGGACAATTTACTCTTGCACAGTAAAATTCTATTTATTCTCTGCATTATGTCCTGGGGGTTAATTTTGTTTTGGTATTTTATGTCAGATGCTTTGTCAAGCCTTAGGTATTTCTTCACCACCTGTCCATATGCTTAACCCTCTTCAACCTGTTCCTGCAGGGCAAGAGGCTGGCATTTCACCAGCTGCCATTATCTGCAGCTCTTTTTGCTGGATTAATGCCAAGAAAGGTCTTCAAGCCTGCTGAGTAAACTCAGCGCATGGCTGGAATTAGGACTTTCTCAGGTCTTCTGAACAGTGCTGAGGACCTGAATTTCTTCTTTCAAGAATTTCCAATCCTACTCGTTCCCTGGGGCAGGGGGACTCTAATTCCCTTTATACTGTAACTTATGGGGATGCTGCAAAGCTTGCCTCCCATGATGTACTTCTGCTAAATATTCTTTCTAAATTCTGGATGGAAATCTTTTCTTGTTGAATTCATAAAGGACTGTTTACTTGTATTTCTTGGTGTATTTCTCTTTTAAATAAAAATTTACCCCTGCAATGACATCACTACAGAGAAGTGCATGGCAGTGTACATACCTATGACCACCCAAGTGAAAAAACAACACTGGAACGCTCTCTCTTCTCCCTCTAGCCATTAATGCCCAGTGGCCAAAATGACTGTTCCAGAACAGCTGCTATCTTGACATTTCACCACTATCAGCTATTTTTGTCCATTTTCAAGCTCCTCTTATGTCTGGCTTCTTTTGCTTCTTACCCCTCCTCACTGTTGCATGTGGCAAGTCTGTTCATTTATTCCTGGGTATACCTGTGCTGAGGGGACAGGTTTCTAGTTTTGGCAACTCCCATCACTGATGTGAGGCCTCGTGTGCACGCTTTTTGGTGAACATATAAGTATGTATTTCTGTTGCGTTTATGCCTCAGTGGAACTGCTGGCCAGAGGGGTTATGTGTTGCGTGGTACCTGTCTACCAAATTAATAGCTGTGGATTCCGTCCCACAGAGTGGGGTAGGGGAGTGGGCTCCCCAGCAGGGTACAGTCTCTCTAGCAATGCCTCATTGTTTTTAACTTGAGCTTTCCTGGTGGCCAATGAGGATGAATATCTTCTCAATACTGGATGCTGTAATTTTGAAAGTATTTTAAATTTATTTTTATCTGAGGTAGCATCGGGGTACCCCCATCAGGTTGCCACCACAACCTCTACCTCCAATCACCCCTAGTCTACTGCCACAGACTGTTATCCCCACTCCCTCCCAGCCCCCTCAGTCCCCCACTTTGGTGTCTCAGTTCTACAATCAGCTACAAGGGTTAGTTTTTGAGCCTATCTTTATGTAGAATAGAAAGTAACTAAATGAATGTACTTATTTTTTAAGTGGCAGCTCTTAAAAGGGAGAGGGCCGTGGCTGGAGAGCAGAGCTGAGGTCTCTTCCCAGCTTCTCAGGCTAACAGTGGTCTTCTCTTGCTGTGAGTAGTTGTTCCTGGTTTCTAGCATTCTGAAGCAACAGGAAAAGAAAAGTTACTTATCCTCATCTGAGAAGGCTCTTGCTCTTCCTATAACAAAGGCAGCTACTAGAAGTTAGCATTTATGGTGGAGTCAAGAGACCGGGGATTAAGGGTCCTGGGTGAGGATGGCCAGGGAACAGGAGGTGGTGATCCAATCGGGATTCTTCTGACTGGATCGCAGGGCTCTGGGTGGGGATGCAGTTGTGCCAGAGGCCAGAGCGTGCTGAGCTCCGCAAGTCTTTACCTCTCCTTGTGTTTCCATGCCACTCCCTATGCCCAGTGGAGCGGAGGCGTCTAAATGTGGTCAGATGTTTCCAGTACAACAGAGTGCGGAAGGCCTGAGCGGGCGGTGAGCTCTACAAGTGTGCAGAGCACGCAGGCAGGGAGTTAGGCTTGGCCTAGAATTTCAGCCCTTCAGCCATCCTTTCTATATGAAAGTCAGACTTCAGGGGTCAGTGAGGGGATGGGTGGTTTGTAAGCAGTGGCGCAGAACCATGGCAAGTACAGACATCACCGGAACACTGCTTTCCCGCCACCTCGCCACCCCGCGGCACATCTGCGTGCGTCTGCTCAGTGAGAGTAGGTGACCACACAACTCCTCGGGTAAATCAAAATTAGATGAAGGTTATTTATTGGTGCAACTTTTTTCTTGTAGTGAGCTTCCTTTACACAGCAGTGGTGTAAATAGCATCAGATTGAATGAAAAGTTTGTTAAATGCAACCATAAATAATTATAATAAATATACATCAAGTAACTTTACAGCACACATTTTTTAGGGCCACGGTTGGGATCTGTCTGGACCTCAATGTGCTCTCCGAGAGAAGCAGTCTTGTTAGCAGCAGGAATCTTACTCACAGCTGTCGTCTAGTCAAACGATGGGCCAACGCAAGCTCCCCGCGCCCTCCTGGGAGGAAGCTGACGGAACTCCGAGTCCATTCGAGGGTAGGGGTGGTGCGGAAGGGCCAGGGGATTGAAAATACAGGGAGGAAAAACCACTTTTAATATATCCAAAGGCTCTTCCACGGCGCAGAATGAAGTAAGAGGATCCTTGTTGGCGGGGCTACATCCTGGTGTACCCCAGCAAGCGGGCTGTGGCCTCCGGGAGGCGGCGGCCAGCCACGGTCCTCGCGAGCAGGGCTGCTGGTGGGCCTTCGCCAGCTACGACGGCCCCGATCAAATGTGACTGATGCAGCTGGGCGATTACTCTTCTCCTCGGTTTGGGGGATCT